CTTTTCTCACACAGCTTCCCAGCTGAACCCCTTCGCTGTAGCCTTTCTTTTTTATTTTTTTTTTTGCTCTCTTTCCGTTTCCGTTTTCGTTTTCATTTTCATTTCCTTTGTCTTTGGTTCGAGTAAACATTTGCACACACACACGTGGCCCGAGCTCTAATTAAGAATGAAGGCTTCCATTTTACTAATTGACACAATGATTAATGCGATTGTCTTGGCATTCGAGTGTACGGTAAGCACCTTAAGCTTTTTCTCGAGAATAACATTTAACTAGATAATAGTTCAATAAGATTTAATGGTTTTATAAACTTCAAATTACTTTCCAATACCCCTAAACATTATTTTAAGCTTTTCAATAAATGTTATTTATATTTCCTGCATCCTAATCCCCTCTAGGATTTTACTTCTATTTTTAAGCTTAATTAAAATCTCTTTATTCTTAAAGACAGACCTTTGGGTAGGCAATATTCCATATAGCTTAATTCCCTAGTGTTTGTTACGATAAATATTTAATGAGAAACCATTTATGCCAAGTTCCCCGCTTAATTAGTTGCAGCTTCAGTGGGGGGGGGGGGTAATAATAAGGGGGTTGTTGCCCAAAATTTCCACAGAATGCAACAACAGAAGAGGGGCAGCGAAACAGGTGGCGGAGAAGGGGGATGGAAGGACATTGGTTTTTGGGATCGAGCATCGGCATCATAATCGTTATGCCCGCCCATTTAATTAAACTTTGTAACCCTTGAGGGGCCGCCCGTCCAAATATTGTGGCCTTGTTCAGGCTTAATTGCTAACACGCACATACACACAGGATACACTTAACAAGAGGGAAAAATAAATAATAATAAATAATAACATAAATTTAAATAGATAAAATTCTTTAAAAAGAAGTGACATCTTTCAGTTTAAGCCTGAATAGAAAGAACACTTATTATTTTAACTCTTTAAAGCGTAAATAGTATTATTTAATCTTTACAAATCTCTACAAATAATCTCCATATCTATTTCTCTAAGTGCACGCACACAGTAACGCAAAGCGACTTTGTCTAGCCCCCCAAAAAAGTATGCAATAAAAATTAATGAGCGGGAAAATTTTTATTGACGCGCCTTTGGCAATGCATAAATGAATAATGCCCCAAGGGAAAGCATAATGAGAGAACTCTCTCTCTCTCTCTGTGCGAATGTGTGTGTGTATTATTGTGTGGTTATTGGTCTGTGTTTGGGTTAATGTTTGCCTGTGTTTGTGAGGCTAGGGGGTAGGAGAAGGGCGGGGACATGGTCACGCCCCCTACTTCTGTAAAACTAGGCAAACAACGTCATTGTTCGAGCAGCTGGAGCCGCTGAATAAACTCAGTCTCTTTCGGTCTGATTTGTGGCCACTAAAAGCTTCTCTGACATCAGCCGAAGGACATGGCCGGGGACGTCACACTCAGGACATGCCATTGGCGAAAAAAAAAATATAAATGAATTGGGGGAAGACACGTGTGCTGCTAAACAGTGGGTTTTATAGAGAATATTTAGATTAAGGATTAATTTTTGCAAGTAGATTTCATAAGTTTTTTTAAAGATTAAAGCAAAGTTTATGAGTTAAAGGAGTAAAAACAATAAACAACTGCCTACTCTTTAATTATCTAGATATATTTCCTTATTAATTGTGTTTAAAATTAGCATCTTTTGTGTGTTATGTTTGCATATTTTTCCGAATACCACAGTGCGGCGCCTAATGTCTGAGCCTAGGATTTGCCCATTGTCCTGCCAAACTATCCTTCCTGCATCCTTTTTTCTCTCTATCCTATCCCTCTCCTTTCCTTTCCCTTTCCCCCTCATAATTGCAGTTAAAAAAAAAACATTGCGCATACGCCATGTGGACTGCAGTGACTTTGAGCAAACTCAACCGCAAATTGAATCAATGCGGCAAGCTTTGTGTTTGTCTCAGTCATTAGCCGACCCCAAAAATAGCCCTCGGGCTAGAAACATTGCAAAAAAATGAGAAAAAAAAGCGTGCTAAAGGGAACCCTCGAGGTCAAAGGCCGGAAGGAAGGCAGCCAGAAACACGAAAACTTCTTTATGACATCACCAAAAGAGAGAGAGAGAGAGAGAGAGAGAAAAAGAAATGCCAAAAGAATAAAGTGGGGGAGTCCCCTCAAAAAGTTGACCAAAAACCACCGGGGGCAGCGCGTGCGATGTGCGGCATAGAATGTGCGATGTCCGATATGCGATATGCAAACTAAACGATGGCACGTGACCACACACACACATAGAAACCGCAAAAGTAAAGAACGCACACGCACAGACAAAGGAGAGGAAAAGGAAGTAGGAAAAAGAAGGTCCTTAAAGGTGCTCATGGCGGGCACGTGTAGGTCTTTCAAATAGAGACTGCGTTCTAAGCACGCCCCCCAAGGTGGTGCATATATATAGCCGGAAATTAAGTGTGTGGGTGTGTGGGAAAAATATATTATAAATATACATATATACAGATTTAAAAATAATATTTAAAGGGAAGTAAATCTATTCATATACTTGGTCTAAAAATATTTAAAGTGCTTTTTGCTGCCATGTTTCTATGTGGAAAGTTAAAATTTAGCTTCCACATAAAGCCATAAAGAACTATTATAACTATATATATATTTTTGTTATATTTTAACTATATTTTTTCAGCTAATTACGTTGTCTCTGGCTCGGGGGGCCGTTTATTATCTGCGGAAGTGTCCGTCAGAGATTGCGTGCTGACCATTTAGCTGGCCACGCCCCATCCACCAATTTGCAGTTTTTCTCTTTTCTCTATTTTATTTTTTTTTCTACCTTTCTGCTGGCTTTTCCTGGCTTTCCCAAGCGTAATCTCCACTCTCCATTCTCCACCCTCTTCACTCTATTACTCTACTCTCCACAATCCACAATCCACGTAGTCAAACGGTTAACACAACAATTTGCCGAAGGATTTTTGTTATCGCCTTTTGGGAGGGCAAGCACGAAATGCGAATAAATACAGAGAAAAATCCTAGAAATAAGGAGAATTTAGTTATACCCTTTCAAGGTATTATATTTGTATTCAGAAGCTTGAAACTAAGTGATGGAGTCATTTTTGACCCTATAAATTATATATATTCTTGATTAGTATCAATAGGGGAATCTTTTAACCCATCTCCGAATAAACAAAATTTTTTTCAGAAATTTTCCATTTTTCGGAAAAAAGGAAAGGGGTTACATCATGAAAATTCGCAAAAATCGGCCAACAATTCACATTTTAAATGGAGTATGTAGTTTTGTAAACCTGCTAAAAATTAACATACGACTGCTTTCCGAATTGAAATTAATGCGTTTTTGGCCTAGTTATGAAATTTTAAATTTCGATTTGTCGAAAAATGTTCTATAAAAATATAGTTAATATTGGTTAAAAAATGGTAATGGACCTTCAGTCAGAAGCTTAAAAGAAGGTGAAGGAGTCATTTTTCTAGCCATCTTCGGCAAAAAGTTAATTTTTTTCAGAAATTTCATTTTTGAAAAAAAGGAAAGGTCGTTAAAATGGTCAAAAATTTACAATATTTTAAATTTTAAATTAGGTATGCAGATTTGTTAACCTAATAAAAACTTACACAGGAACGCTTTCCGATTTGAAATTAATTCGTTTTTGACTTAGTTATGAGATTTTTAAACTTTGATTTATAGGGAAAATTGTCATTGGAAAATATCAGTAAATATCAAATCAAATAATGATACCATTTGTTTTAAAACATTTAAAGATTTATTTACAGTGCCTGCTGGAATGGGCCTTGTGTGTGTTGTGCCAACTTAAGTCTTTCGTATGTTTTATTGCTGCTTTTCCGGCATCTGTGGCACCTGTCGTAAAGGGGAGGTAGGAAGTGGATGAGGGAGGTGGGATTGTTCCAGGCGTTGTCACGTTTCTCCAAATATTTTGCAATTTTCCACAGATTTCATTTTCTCATTGGCTTGTCTGTTTGTCGGTCTTTTTTGAGTTTTTCATTTTCATTTTGTTGCTTTGTTTTACTTACGTTTTCCTAAACATTTTCTGTTACGGTTTTGTTTGCTGCATAGTAGTGAGCGCCGCTTGATTCGGCCTGAAAGCAAATTGGCTTTTTCCCAACACGTTTCTGAATTACAAACGAGTTTTGCACAGGGATAGGGAGAGAGGTAGAGGGGACTTTGACTGTGCAAAACCTTCAATTATGCACACACGCTGGAGGGGGAAGGACACAGGACACAGGACACGCAGAAATCTGTAAATTGCATCTAAGTTGTTAGAGTTCCCATCTGCCAGGCTTCCATCTAGCAGTCTCCCTTGTGGAGCAGCCAAATGGCATAGCAAATGAGAAGGGCAGAGCTCCGGGAAGGAGCAGGATGAGCAATCAGGGGATCCTGGCAGCCTCCAACCTCCACGCAGGCGGGTAATAAAAATCCGCCACTTTGTGACACAAAAAAAAAGTCAGGATAATAACCATTATTTACAATGGAACACACACGGTATGTCATATTTTTTCCATTATCCTTGAACAGTGTCATATCCCTGTGCTACCTTTTATACCCTATATCAACTACTTTATATTGCTGATCATCTTTGTCGCCTTTGCCTGAATATGATATTCCCCATTTCTGGCCCGCCATTTGTATTATGCAAATCCTTATCCATATATAATCGCCATTATTCTCCGCTGATTGCCATTTGCAGGCACTCAACTTGATTTAGGTTCCAGTCACGCCCCCTACTTCGTCCTCCTTCCATATTTCAATACATTTCCCCTCGAGTGGACATGAAGGAGCTGGCTAAAATTTATACAAAATAAACTTGATGCCAAAATGGCTCAATGGCGACACGAAATCGCGCATGGTTGAAGTCAACTCAAGGAATATATATATCTATATATATATATATATATATATATATTCAGGGGGCGTTAAGTGCTGACCTTCCCAAAAAGAAAAACTGATAATAATGAGAGCAGGCAGGCTGTGGTTTTTCACTCAAGGCTTTACTCTCTCACTTTCAAAGCTCTTACCCAGTTCGTCAGTTCGCCTTCGTGTGTTCGAATCTATCTCGAAAATTAAGTTTATATATATATATTTATATTAGAAAGAAAATTTCAATCTATAAGAATGGAAACTCTACTTCTGTTCATCTTGACCTTCATCGCCTTCACTGGCGCCGCCGATGATGATGTCCTTCAGCTGGGCGACAATGATTTTACCAGCATTTTGAAGCAACATGAGACCACCTTGGTGATGTTCTATGCACCCTGGTGTGGTTTCTGCCGTCGTCTGGAACCGGAATATTCCAAAGCCGCTGGGATGGTCAAGAGAGATGATCCGCCCATTAAGTTGGCCAAGATCGATTGCACCGAGGCCGGGAAGGAGATATGCAACAAATATGCCATCATTTCGTATCCCACATTGAAGATCTTTCGTCAGGATGATGAGGTCAAGGACTACAAGGGACCACGCAAGGCTAATGGTATTGCCGAATATATGCGCATTCAGGTGAAACCGATGTTGTATAAGAAATCCATACGATCCATTGAACAGTTGGCCAAGCTAAAGCGTCTATCTGAGCTCCTGAAGAAGAAGGATATGTCAGCCGGGCACAAGGATACCAAGTTAGTCAACCAAATGCTAAAGAATCGCTTGAATGAATTGTATAACAATTGAAGTGGGGGACGGAAGAAGAAGAAGGATTTGTCTTTGTATATTTTTAAAGACTTTCCAAAATGATGTTCAATCAATTTCCATGTATTTTTTAAAGTAACTATTATATTAAATGGGGGGGGGGCCCTAACACACACAATTATTAGTGTTATTTCATTAACTCTCTGGAAGTCTAGGGAACTTGATTTACTTCTGCGGCCCATCATATGTTGGTTTTCGAATAAATGAATAAATCGTTCCACTTATTCAAATGTTATCGATTTTTTAATGGCAAACTTGGCCGTTGGCGATTAATTATGCGTCGCTTTCGAGGGCAGCGCTTCAAACTGAGACTCCGGAAGCCAGGACTCGCCGCAAAGGACCTCAGTGTCTGGACTTTGCCCAGGAAGAGAAAGACAAACAACAGTCGATGGACAGCAGCAGAAGCAGCAGCAGTCAAGAGCTCAATCAATTCCGTCAGAATGATGGAGGAATCTCCTCCATGGCCCAGTTACGTTTTCACTTTCTTTCGTTTTTATTTTTATTTTCATTCTCACATCTCGATACTTTATTTTTCGTACACTGAAAGTTGCGAAAAAGAGGCCTCTGGGAATGCATGAAATTATGTTTCCAAATGGTTTTACACAAAAATAAATAAATATGTTTATGTTTTTCAAAGGATGTAAAATATTTTGAAAGCCTTTAACAAAAGAGGAACCAGAGAGGCAACTAACTTTAGCGAAGTTTGTATACCTTTTACAGTTTACAATTAAATTATAGAGTCCCATTGAAAATGTATCATAAGTAAGCTTAAAATATTGGCAATCTTTGAATCTATATTTTACTATGTGAATTTTGTTGTTAAAACAAATTTTAAAAATATCATAACTAAGTCAGAACTTCATTAATTTTAGTTTGAAAAACTTTCTTATGTCAGTTTTATTGGGTTTTTTAGAATTTTTTTCCTTTCGGAGATGGCTAGATAAACTCGGCTTTTTATACTGATTAAAAATATATATAATATATAGGGTCGAAAATGACTCCTTCACTTACTTTAAACTTCTGATTAACTTTATAATACCTTGAAAATGAATAGTTTTGTAAATTGTTCTATCTTTCTTTTCATTTTTTCTCTCGGTGGACACCATGTGCTCCTCCATCATCCAATGGTCACGCACACTGCGAAAAACCAATCAAACAAACGGAAGACGCCAACCGGAAGTCGCAGGGCCAAACTGGACACGAATCGATGATGATGATGATGATGACACAATGGCAATCATGGGATAACGAACCTGATACTGATGATGATGATTGCAGAGGCAATGGAATTGAAATCGGAATCGAAATCGAAATCAGATTCGGATTCGGACTTGAGCTGGCAATCACATTTGTCACTCACTCAGGTGTCAAATTTGTATGGTAAGTAATATTGATTATAATATAATATTTCTTGCCTGATTTCTTAATTGGTAACAATTGAGTGACCTTAAATACCCCTTAATCAATCCACAATTACAAGTGTAATGCTATGAAATTGCTAAACAACAAGCACATTTTGTTGCCAATTTTGGTCGGATGAGCATGAATTTGAACTTGAGCGGAAATCAATTGATTGGCGGCCACAGATGCCATTGAAGTTTACGCTTGTGCGACTTCCGCTTGCTGCAATTAAATGTGCACAACAAAACACATACAGAGCTGACCCAACTTTATTTTATTTTCTTCTCCAACCAAAGAACCCATCCAAAAAACCAAACCCGAGGCGAAGCTGTCTTTTTTCTTGCTGCTTGAAAATTAATCACTTCGGCAGCTGCCAAAAGCGAAATGCTTTGTCATATATATCCCTCCTTAAATCGTTTACCAAACAGAATACAGAGTGAATACAGAAAATGCCATGCCCACAGCCACTTGTATCAATCACGCTCCGATTGTTGTTGAAAAATTGTCGGACATGTACAATAATGTTTATCAAATGGCATCTGTTTCTCTGTCGAGAAAGGGCCTCTCTACACACATTAATATATATATATATCCTGTTTGATTTGTTGCTTGACAAGGTGACTATAGGTTTAAGGGTCTCGAAAAATCAAACAAAAGAAATGATATGAAAGGAAATGAAATGAAATGAAAGCAACCGAGTGTCAAAGTGCATTTGTAATGGCCTTAACTGTAAGATTAAAGCTTACTTTTCTGCTGATTTATGGTTTTTGCCGAGTGGAAATGTTGTCCAAGTTAATACTGTCGACACACACTTGAGTCTCTTGGAATCAGTTGCTGCATTTATGCTTGGTTGATCCCAGGTCCGGTGTCTGGGGGATATTCATGCATGCAGGAGTTACTTTTAGTACTCTTCTTAGGAGGTATTTCCATTTAAAGGGAAGTCCTGCGAAAATATAGTAGGAAAGTGTATCATTCTATTCGCCTTTTTGAGTTGCTCTTTCTCTGCCATCTCTCGATATTTATTGTTGGGCTTGGCAGTGTGGCAAGAACTGAACTCAACTCAACTGTGGGTTGTGTTTGCATTTAAGCTTGTTTTTTGGGGGAAAAGAGGACACTGAGCTCACTTTGCCTTCTTGATACGAGCGCCATTGAGGCGGTGTCTGGTGTTTGCCCAGGGCAAGCTGTCAGTGCTCCACTAGGTTTTTCTTTCCTTTCTCTTTTTGGAATATATTGGTTTGGGACTTAAAAGTGCAGCTTCCGCTTTCCTCTTAAAGCCCATTTCGCATTTCAATGCACTTCACTTCACAATCACTACACACATTTACATTAAATATTCGCCGGGAAAGGGGCTTGTGTCAAGCTGAAGACCTCGAAGCCTCTCCTGTTTTTCAATTAACGCCCAATTAATTCAATGGCAGGATGAGCTGATGTTTGACAGCTTATCATATGTCATACGTGGCGTATACGTGATAATGTTGCGTATACGACGTGGTGTCTTTTGTTGTTTTGCGAATGGGATAAAATCGGCAGGCAATTAATTAAAACAAATGGGTTATTCAGCCTGTACTCTATCAGTACTTGAGCCTTCATAATTAGTGGTTCTGTTTTATAGTTTAAATATAAGAGAAATATGGGAAAGAGCAGAGAACTTTTTGCAGTTCGAAATTCAAGCGATGTCTGCGATCATTCGATATGCACATTTCACCATCAGCCAAGCAAATCGAAACGAAAGGCTGTCAGGCTAACGAAGCAGCACATGACACACATGTACACTGTGGAAAAATAGTAGGAACAATTTTTAAATCCCAAAAAACTAAATATAAACCATAGCAAGCCCTGAAGTGTAATTCATTTAAGACAAGGAATGTAAAAGAAAGAAATTAATCTATATAAAAAAAGATAAAAAGAAGTAGAAGACCTATTAATTTTTTCCAGTGTTTTAACCCACACACATTTGTGTGTGTGTGTGTGTATCCTCATGGGGTTACATTAGGGAAAGCTAAGAGGGAAAGCACTCAAATCTGGCGGCACTTTAACGCACTTTGCTCATGGGCCGCAAATTTTTCCTGCATTTTCCCAACGATTTTCGGTGTTTTCGGCTTTTAAGTGCAGTGCCAGAAAAGTGAATGCCGAAACGTAAAGTGCGGAACACATAAATCAAGCATCAATCATTCATCATCAATCATTTGCATTGAGAGTACAAAAAAAAAAATAAGTAAAGGAAAGGAAGCGAATCAAATAGAAGGGATGAGCACTTAAAGAAAATAAAAACCACAGGTAGTATATCTTTAATAAATTAATATATTTGATATATTAATTTAAAGTTTTCCTTAAAAAATTTTAATACCATTCAACAAAAGCAAGTGAGAGACTTTATTTCTCAGAAATATTGCTATGTAGGAATGTTGGAAAATATTATATATTCTCACTCTGCCTTAGTCTATATATTTATTTGCACATTTCTCTACTATTTTCTCTCACATCCTGTTCTTATAGTTTTCCTGGAATTTTCCCATTGACAAACAATTGGAATTTACTCTTATTTCCCTGAGTTTGCAGCTCTGGTAACTACAGCTTCGAATTCTTTTACTAAAAATTGCATATATGGCCACTTTGAGTTGTTTGTAATCCGAATGCCCAGTCGAGTCCTTTTGCCATAAATTACGTACATGTACTTGGACACTTTTGACATCCTGCAGGCTCCCAGCAGCATCGTCATCGTCATCGTCATCATAATAAAATGTTATATATACATTTTCCTCTCTCGTCTTCCCTGGAGGCGGAAATGAATGTCGTGCAGCAAGGAGGTCATACCAGTTAGCCACGGCTCCTTGCCAGGATTTCATCTCTCAGCATCATCCCCATCAGCAACAGCAACAGCATCCAGTTTTTACATTCACATCAGCAGCTCAGAGCAGCTTTTCAGCATTTGCTCAAAGTAAATGGCTGCAAATTGCATTTTAATTACATTGTTGTGCTCTTGCGGCATGTAGCATGCAGCATGTGTGTGGGCTCCTGCCTCTGGGCAATCCTGGGTCCTTGCAACAGGACAACATGTGACAGGGGGACACTGGCAGAAACGAGGGGGGAGTTGCTCTCCAATTAAATGCTTCTCATCTAATCAGGGGCTCACTTAACCTCACCTTGACTTCAAGTGTGTGCCAGTTATATCTTTGCTCCGACTGATCTATATATTAAATATATATTCTATATTAAAATATTCAATATAACTAATATTTACTCTAAGAAACCCTTTCTATGGCCGATTTACAAAGCTTATCTGTATGATGCCGCTGTGGAATTCTCACTGAGCTGCTGTCAAGTGCAGAGTTTTCTATGGTTTTCTATGGAAAATTCAGGAAAAAATGAAGAACAACAAAATAGTGAAAAGCAAAAAAAGGCAGAGAAAAGAAACAGAAAAAATAGAAAGGAAGGAAAATGGCTAGTAGGTTAAAGATAATTGCCAAGTGACATGTGATTGCAATCAATGCAGATTAGAAACTCTTCCATTTTTACACTGTATGACTTTAGTCAGCTTTATTCCAACTGAAACCATTTTGAAAAATAATAGAAACTAAAATTTAATACCTCTCCATATTTAAAATTAATAAATTATAACTTTAAACCTTTTTTTCACATTGAAAAAGGGAACAGTAATTTTATGTCATCACCGTTTTTTTCTTTCCCTAATC